CAACACACACACACACCATCCCCGGGGACTCTGGGAATGAGGAGAAACATTCTGTTTGCAAAGGGCATCCTCTACCTCCATTCTCCTTAGCTCAGCTCAGAGTCCTGGACAACAACACACACACACCCACACACATATACACCCAAATACTCCTGTGACTAGGAGGGGTCGCCCCCACCTCATTCAAAGGCACAAAGCCAGGCCTAGCTCCAAGTGTTGGGGTCAGGAAAAGCCTGGATGGAACCACATTCAATATGGCCACCCTAGAGAGACTGGGAACAGGCCACAGTGCAGCCTGAGGCCTGCCTTGCTCCGCAGGGGTCATTGCTGGTCTGGGCAGTGCCACCCAGGGCGGCTTGTTGGGAGAACACTTGCTCTCCCAGTAATTAACAAGAAACCTTTGTGGGACCACTCACCTGCAGAGGCCGAAAAAAGCAATACATTTCCTCCCACCTTTTATGTTCTAGTTTGGCTAAGACGGATTAACAAGAGAAAAATCGAATCCTAATACATGGGCATGCTGAATTCACATAAGCATGAAAATTGCAGGCAGCCAGGCAAAATTGGGTAATATATGACATTTTGGAAAAAGGAGAAAGGGGGTGGAATATCTTCTTAGATCTCAGAAGTGAAAATGGGGGGTTTATGGGTAGTTGAGGGAGAGCAGGACACCTATGGCCGACAAATTCTTCCTGGGAAACCCAGAAACAACGGGACACAGAGTGCCCAGCTAATTCACATCAGACGAAGGTAAACAGAACATCCTAAGATTTCCTTCTGGGAGGTGGCCTTCCAGCTGAATCTATTGGGTAGGAAGGGGGAAGATCAAAGGTTCTTTCTGAGCTTTTTGTTTTTTAATAGCCAGCTTACAAGCAATATCCCAAAAGCCAGCAGCACCAGGGTGGCAACGCATTGGCCCCCTTCACCCCTTCACTTGCTTCCTAGTGACAAAGCAGAGTGACAGCATTTCCTGGCGGGCTGTGAGCAGGAGGCCCTGGGGCTGCTGAAGGGGTGAAAGTGCTGCTGAAATGCAAGATTAGGCAGACGTGGACTGAGGCTTCACTCTGACGAATGACAGTGCGTCTTCAAACTGCAGGAGGCTCTCCCCAATGCCTCCCGGTAGGGGATGAGTTCAGAAGGAGCCACAGCCAGCCCAGAGTCAGGGCTAGGAGAAGGCGAGTGAGGTGCCGGAGGCACCACATTTAAGAAGCCACTCACTCTCCGTAGGTGCAAACGCCTCCTAAAATCTGGTGCCTCAGCCCCTCACCAGAGCCTCCCCAGGCCTTTGGCACCTCATTGTTTCTGACGTGCCCATTACATGGTGGTTCCTCAAGAGCCAGGGCGTGTGGGGTGTGATTCAGTAATAATACAGGAATAGGTGTCAGCAGATGATGGTTGGTGCCCATTCAATGCCAACAGAAAGTTCCCAGTTCGTGTGGTGAAGAAGGAAACTTGATTCCCTGCGAGCAGAACAGCGGTGCAGCGGCTCCCCGTGGTCACAGCCCGCCTGTGAAGCAGCCCTGCTGTGGGACAGCAGGCCTGGGAGGAGGCCTGGGGTGACATGGCCCCGGCGCTAGGCCCCTCTCTGGCCAGACAGCTCTGCCCTGCTCTGCTCCTCAGCCTGCACACTGGCCCCTTTGCAGAACGCAGCCGCTCTCCGCCCTTCTCCACGGGAGCCCATGCTCCCTCCCCATCCCCAACCCAGGAAGCAAGGCCACATCACACAGCCTTGGCCTCTGTGACTCTGTGAGCGTCCATCCTGCCACCAGGCTGTGGCACTTGGAATCCAGTGTAGTTCCTGGCATAGGGATTGCGTAAATGTTCTAGAATGAATGAATGAGTGAATGAGTGAATGAATGAATGAATGAATGAGAGGACTGCCTCTGGTCCTGCAGAAGGGAGTTTCCTTCACACTCTCCTCCCGGCCCTTAATCCACCCCCTGGCGTTTCCTAATTATCTCAGATTCGGTTTCAGTTTCCCCTCTCTTCCTTGGATTCCCAAATCCTGGCGCGGGGAAGGAGGAGGGGGGGTTGGTGCCTGGGAGCGGGTGGTGTGGGGAGGGGGCGGGGCCTGGA